TCCCACCCAGTTTCTCTGCCTAGACCAGGAATGTCCTTCCTCGGCTACTTTAAGAGTTGGGGTTTTCAACTCCCAGAATTCCTCAGCCAGTTTGGGAGTTGAGGTCCACAGGACTTAAAACTTCCGATGGCCGTTGGTACCCAACTCCATATTTTATTTTATTTTATTTATCATATTTGTATACCGCCCTACTCCCGAAGGACTCAGGGCGGTGAACAGCCAAAATAAAATACAGAGACATACAAAAGTTAAAAAACTATTAAAAACAGATTAAATAATTTAGGCTCAAAAAACAAATTAAAAACATCCAATTTATCTAAAAAACATTTAAAACCCAATTTAAAACCCAATTTAAAAGGGAGAGTTAGGCCAGACCAACCTGTTGGAATAAAAACGTTTTTAGGGCGCGGCGGAAGATGCGTAAGTCTTGGATCCTCCGTATCTCCGGGGGGAGCTTGTTCCAGATGGCAGGTGCCCCCACAGAGAAGGCTCCCCCCCTGGGGGCCGCCAGTCGACATTGTTTGGCCGACGGCACCCTGAGGAGCCCCTCTATGGGAGCGGACTGGTCGGTGAGAGGCTACTGGTGGCAGAAGGCGGTCTCGTAAGTATGGACCGTTTCTTCCCAAACACTCACCTTGCAAACCCCTTTCTGCATGAAGCCCCATACAAAGGCAGCCGCCCCCTTGCTGCACCCCGAACCCCAAGCCTGCTGCCTTCGCTCCCGAGTACAAAACCCAAACCCCATTTTTTCTCTCTTTCCTGCCCTGCCGCTTTTTTGCCCACTCGCCATTTCTCTTTTTATCTTCATCCGCATTTATCTTCATCTTTTATCCGTTTTACACTTTTTAAAACACAAAACAGCCGGAATGAGAAGCCGGGAAAGAATAAAGCAAGTCATTTTTCAAGCGGATGAAGAATATCCCAGCCGATAAGATGCCCATAAATTAGGGGAGCGAGGAAAACGGCCATTGGAGCCGAGTCTCTGCTCCAAATAAATGGGGCTTCGATCGTCGTCCCCCTCCCCACTTCCAGGTCTGGCTCTTTTCTTGAGGTCCTTCTGGAAGAAAAGAAGGTATAAATTAAAAGCTTTTCTTTGTGTTTCGAATTTGGCAGCTGCTCCCGTGCTCGTCCGGGGTCCGTTTGAGGAACTGGGCATCTCACGAGCCGCCTCTTTCTCCTTGACACCACGAGAGATGCTGGGTTTTGGAGTCCATCTCCAAGTTTTTCCCTAGGCACGGTTGCTTCCGGTTTGCACCAAGGGTCTTCGGGGAAAGGGTGCCCCTGTCCTATTGAGGTCAGCTCCTATGGATAGTGTGGTGTCGGTGCTGCCTTGCAAAGTTTTTAATGGGCTTTCCATCTCAGGATTCCTAGGGTCTCTCTCCTTGATTAGTTTCCATCCGTTGCTTCTTGTCCTTCAGAAGTTGTGGAAGCTTCATCACTAGAGGCTTCCAAGAAGAGACTGGACTGCCAAATGTCAGAACTGGCGTAGGGCCTCCTGCTTGGGCAGGGGGTTGGACTAGATGACCTACAAGGTCCCTTCCAACTCTTGTTATTCTGTTCTGTCCTGCCTTCAGGTGCTTTGGAGAAGAGCTTGACTCCCTCTTCTTTGGGGCAGCCCCTCAGATATTGGAAGTCTGCTATCATGTCTCCCCTGGTCCTTCTTTTCATTAAACTAGACATACCCAGTTCCTGCAACTGTTCTTTATATATTTTATCCTCCAGTCCAGGGATGAAATGCTCCCGGTTTGGACTGGATCACCTGATCCGGTAGCGATGGAGGCAGGTGGTTCGGAGAACCGGTAGCAAAAATCCCTGCCCCCACCCCCAATACCCAGCTGAGCCGCACAATCATCAGAGGCTTTTTTTTTTACTTTTAAAAGCATTTTTTCTACAACCTCTTTGGGCGAAAAAATGCTTTTAAAAGTAAAAAAAAAAAAAAAAAGCCTCTGCTGATCAGGCAACTCAGCTGGGATCGTCAGAGGCTTTTGAAAGCATTTTTTTTCAACCTCTTCGCCAAAGAGGTTGTAGAAAAAATGGTTTTAAAAGTAAAAAAAAAAAAGCCTCTGATGATCGCGCGGCTCAGCTGGGATCTTCAAAGGCTTTTAAAAGCATTTTTTCTACAATCTCTTCAGAGGTTGTAGAAAAAATGCTTTTAAAAGCCTCTGAGGATCCCAGCTGAGTTGCCTGATTGGCAAAAAAGCCTCTGCTGATCAGGCAACTCAGCTGGGATCGTCAGAGGCTTTTGAAAGCATTTTTTTTACAACCTCTTCGCCAAAGAGGTTGTAGAAAAAATGGTTTTAAAAGTTAAAAAAAAATTGGCCACGCCCACAGAACCGGCCAATACAATTGGCCATTACCCCCCCCCCGCCACACCCACAGAACCAGTAGTAACAAATTTTAGATTTCCCCACTGCTCCAGTCCTCTAATCCTCTTTGTTCTCTGCACTCTTTCTGGAGTCTCAACATCTTTTTTACATCGTGGCGACCTTCTGTTATTTCTGTTATATTCTGTTATTTAATGGATGGAAGCTTCTCAGAGGGATCGACAAGCTAGAATTAAGGAGAAATTTCCTGACAGTGAGAACAATTGAACCGTGGAACAACTTGCCACCAGAAGTCGTGGGTGCTCCATCACTGGAGGTTTTTAAGAAGAGACTGGGCAGCCACTTGTCTGAAATAGTGTAGGATCCCCTGTTTGAGCAGGGGGTTGGACTAGATGACCTCCAAGGGCCCTTCCAATTCTATTATTCTATGCTCTAACCTTACAACCGTTCATTTAGTAACGGTTCACAATTACAGCAGTACTGAAAAAAGTGACCCACGACCAGTTTTCACACTTAACGACCATTGCAGCATCCCCATGGTCATGGGATCAAAATTCAGGCCCTTGGCAACTGGCACGTACTTACGACGGTTGCAGTGTCCCGGGGTTACGCAATCGCCATTTTTAAGAGTCCCAGCTGACCTCTTGAGAAGCAAGGTCAATGGGATTTGCCAGATTCACTTAATGTCAGCACAATTCGTTTAAACAAACTTCAGGCGTTTGCTTAATAACTGTGGCAGGAAGATCGTAAAATGGGGCAAAACTCACTTAACGACTGCCTCGCTTAGCAATGGAAATTTTGGGCTCAATTGTGGCTGTAAAACTATCTGTATCTGTCTTGGTGGTCGACGGGGGGGGGCAGGGAGGGGGGGCAGTATGCAGGGCTAAAAATCCAGGGGGGACAGATTTCAGCCCCCTTTTGGTTACTGCTCACCTCCTTTGTGGAGGGGGGGTGTCCCCCCAAGTCCAGGGCTGCCTTCTTCCAAATTGGGGTCTTGTCTGGCCAGATGTTGACTTCCTTCTGACTTTGAGAACGCCCAGCTGAATTGCTGAGCCGTGGTGGTGGTGGGGTCTCTCTTGCCCAGAGCCCCCTCCTCACTGGAGGGAAGCCCCCTTCGCCACAGCACCCCACATCACCCCACTTGGCCTCCGCCCCTCCCAGCATGCTCTTTGCCGGCCACCCTGGATCGGCCGCTAAACTGAAATCAATTCCAATAACCTGCCGGCATCGACAGATTTTCACCGCACATCCAGGGCTAATGAAGAGCCTCTGGGGTCCCCCGGAAGAGAGCCCGGTGGTCTCGTGGCCCACTTCGGCACCTGCTCCCTCTCCATCCAGAAGGACCGAGATCCCTCTGCCCCCTGCCAGGCTGGAGGGGGTTCCACCCACCCCACCCTCAATGCGGGGCATGTATTTTCCCTTTTCAGGGGTCTCTCGTGCTCTCTCAGCTTGGTTTGTTTTCTAAGTTTGTGCCCCTCAACGAAGGAGGGGAGCTGGAAGTCAGTTTTTGTTGACCTACTGGGTACCGGATCCTTTCCCTAAAGCCTCAATGCGGGCAATGCGTTGAGAGGACCCCTGCCAGGTCTTTACAAAGCCTTCTTTTCTTTCTTTCTTTCTTTCTTCTTTCTTTTCTTTCTTTCTTCTTTCTCTTTCTTTCTCTCTCTTTCTCCTCTCCTCCCTTCCTCCCTTCCTTCTCTTTCTCTCTTTTCTCTTTATTTCTCTCTTTCTCGCTCTTCTTTCCTTCCTTCCTTCCTTCCTTTCTTCCTTCCTTTCTTTCTTCCTTCCTTCTTTCTTTCTTTCTTTCTCCTTTCTTTCTTTCTTCTTAATTCCTTTCTTCTTTCTTTCTTTCTTTCTCCCTCTCCTTTCTTTCTTTCTTTTCTTTTTTCTCTCTCTTCTCCTCTCCTCCCTCCCTCCCTCCCTTCTCTTCCCTTTTCTTCTCTTTATTTCTCTCTTCTCTCTTTCTTTCTTTCCTTCCTTCCTTCCTTCCTTCCTCCTTCCTTCCTTCTTCCTTCCTTCCTTCCTTCTTTCTTTCTCCTTTCTTTCTTAATTCTCTTTCTCTCTTTCTTTCTTTCTTTCTTTCTTTCTTTCTTTCTTTCTCTTTCTTTCTTTCCTTTCTTTTTTCTTTTTTCTCTGTTTCTCCCTCTCCTTCCTCCCTCCCTCCCTTCTCTTTCTCTTTTCTCTTTATTTCTCTCTTTCTTGCTCTTCCTTCCTTCCTTCCTCCTTCCTTCCTTCCTTCCTTCCTTCTTCTCTCCCTCCCTCTCTCCTCTCTCTCTCTTTTTCTTTTTCTCTTTCTCTCTCTCTGTCTCACTCTCTTTCTTTTTCTCTTTCTTGCTCCCATTTCAATCAATGACTCTGGGCAGCTTGCCATTCACAAAATATATCACAATAGAAAAACAGTGGCAACATGTTAAAAACAATAAAAAGCACCTAAACTAAATTTACACAGCATTGCTGTGCTGGGGTTGGGGTGGGGCTGAATTTCTTTTTTTTAATTAAAAAAGAAATACAGAGCAATTAAAAAAAAAAACAACCAGCCCAAAATCCTGGCCAGCTGGGGAATGTTGGGAGTTGAAGTCCTTCCATCTTCAAGTGGCCAAGGTGAGAAGCCACTGATCTGAGTGGCTGCTTCTGTTCTTAAACCTTGTCCTGTGCGGTGCCCGTCTTTCTCCTTCCCAGGGACCCCCGTCACCGGATCCCCATCATGGCCAAACAGGTGCTGGATCTCTACTCGCTCTATCGGCTGGTGACCGAGAAAGGAGGCCTGGTGGAGGTGATCAACAAGAAGATCTGGCGGGAGATCACCAAAGGCTTGAACCTGCCCACCTCCATCACCAGCGCGGCTTTCACGCTCCGCACACAGTGAGTCACGGCGGCCGGGAAAGGGGGGGGCGGTCTGTGTGCATGGAAACACGCTTTAGAAATGTTGGTTTAATTTTGAATATGGGTATGAAGCACAAAAGATTTGTAACTGTTGTGGCCCGTCAGCGGCCTGTGTGGATTGTAGCTGATTCCGACAGTGAGGAGGCTGGTGTGGTGCTGTGCCAGCAGCCTGAGCAGCTGGCACTCAAGTTGGACATGAGGCTGGAGAAGATGTGGTGCCAGAGGCAGGGATTCAGCCAGGGCCTTCAGAACCTCATAAGTGAAGAGGATGAAGAGGAGGAGCCTCTTCTCGATGCACCAGCATGCAGAGCTGTCAAAAGGCAGGAGTGGCTCCTCCTCCTGAGGTCTTCTCGAGAGTAAGGCTTGGGCTAATTGACAACTCCCTTAGCCTATTTAAGGAGGAATGCCAACTGAAGCAATTTGTAGGGAACAACTTTAGTTCACTCTCCTTCGCGTCTGGATTCCCTGCAAATTGCTTCTGGGCTTTTTGCCAACCATAGTAAGATTGTGATTACTTTATCTTTGGTTTCTTGTAGGATGTTAAGAAAGTTTATTAACAGCCTTTGTTTGAAAAAGACTGAGTTATTTTAGTAAATTAAGTTTTGTACAGACTTTGTGTGTGCTGCGTTCTTTGGGGTCCATAGCAGGGGCAGAACAGTAACTGACCGACACACTGTTTGCAATTGTAATGGATGATGGGTTTGTTTTTATGTTTTGTTTAAAAAAGAAAAGTGGAAATTTTGAAGGCTGAGGAGAGCAAGGATCTCTATACACGGGTATAGAACATGGAGCCGTAGGATTCTGGAAGGGACCTTGGAGGTCTTCTAGTCCAATCCCTGCTGAAGCAAGAGGCCCTATGCCATCTTGGACAATGGTTGCCCGATCTTTTCTTGAAGACCTCCAGGGATGGAGCAGCCACAACATCTGGAGGAAGCTGTTCCACTGAGTTAATTAACAAAATAATAGCACTGGAAGAGACCTTGGAGGTCCTACTTCAGACAAATGGTTATCCAACCTCTTCTTAAAAACTTCCAGTGTTGGAGCATTCACAACTTCTGGAGGCAAGTCGTTCCACTGATTAATTGTTCTCACTGTCAGGAAATTTCTCCTTAGTTCTAGGTTGCTTCTCTCTGATTAGTTTCCACCCATTGCTTCTTGTCCTGCCCTCAGGTGCTTTGGAGAATAGCTGGACCCCTTCCTCTTCGTAGAAGCCCCTCAAATATTGGAAGATGCTCTCATGTCACCCCAGTCCTTCTTTTCATTAAATTCCATATATATGTTTTAGCCTCCAGACCCCTAATTTGTTGCTCTTCTCTTAGCACAACCATGAGTTGTGATGAGAGATTTGGGTAGGTTTTAGAGAAATCTGGGAAGGACCAAGCCCTGGATGGAAGACTTAGAAAAGTTGAAGCCCCCTCTGTGTCAATCCTGAAGCTGGCCTGGCCACGTGTGTTAAGCGACAAATGCAAGAAAGAGGGAGGGAGAGAGAGAGATCGATTTGATTCATTCATTTGATTGCAATTGATGTGACACCCATTGTAGACTTCAAGAATGAGCAGCAGTAGAAAAACGTTCTTTGACATGTGTGTGGCTTTTTTTTTTATTGAAAAAGTTTTACAAATACATTTTCTCCCCAGTTTCCCCCCCCCAGCCCTCCCTGACCCCCCCCTAGCCCTCCCTAACCCTCCCCTCCCCCCAGGACTTCCACAAAATATAATCCAAATCAAAATCACATTTTATAAGACTTGAACCCTTCCACCCCCCTATATTATTCAAATCTTCATAAAATTCAATTATTCTATCCCTATATAATACATTCAGTTAAAAGCTATCTGATATTTCCTAGTTTGGTATTTATTCTGCACATAATCTATCCACTTTTTCCACTCCCATACATAAGTCTCTTGTGAGCGATCTTTTAGGTATGCTGAAATCTTCGCCATCTCTGCAAAACTGGCCACCTTCAGAGTCCATTCATCAATAGTAGGCATAGCTTCATTTTTCCAATATTGACCTATCAGTAATCTCACTGCTGTTATCATGTAAAATATCAACTTTGTAAAACCCTTAACTATACCCAATAAAAACAGTTGTGGAGAAAACTGAATTTTTTTCTTCAAAACATTTTGCATAACCCACCAAATTTTTATCCAAAAGCCTTCACTTTCTTACAAGTCCACCACACATGATAATATGTGGCATCTAAACAATCACATCTCCAGCATTTTGGTTGAACATTAGGGTACATGCACGACAATTTCTTAGGATCTAAATGCCACCTATAAAACATTTTATAAAAAATTTTCCCTCAAGTTCTGCGACTGTGTAAATTTAACATTCTGGACCCATATTTTTTCCCATGTTTCCAACATCACTGGTTCTGCAAAATTTTATGTGTGTGGCTTTTCATATGAAGAACCTTTTTCCATCACTGGATGTTTTCAGGAACAGACTGGACTGGACTAGAAGTCCTCCAAAGTCCCTTCTAACTCTATTGTTCTTTAATTCACCCAGTGAAACAGCTTCCCTCCAGAAGTTGTGGGTGCTCCATCACTGGAGGTTTTCAAGAAGAGACTGGACAGCCATTTGTAATAATATAAGGCCTCCTGCTTGAGCAGGGGGCTGGACTAGAAGACCTCCAAGGTCCCTTCCAGCCCTGTGATTCTATGTTCTGTGTCCATGTAGCATCTCAGCTGTGGCGATGGAAACCTCTCTGCTTCTCCTCACAGGTACATGAAGTACCTCTACCCTTACGAATGCGACAAGCGGGGCCTGAGCTCTCCCGGCGAGCTGCAAGCCGCCATCGACAGCAACCGGCGGGAAGGGAGGCGGCAGATGTTCGGGGCCACCCTGTTCAGCTACTCGCCCACGGGCACGCCGGCCACCCTCGCTTCCCCCAAGATCCCTCTGCCCTCCCTCACCATCGCCACCCACAACGGGAGCCAGATCGGACAAGTCCGCGCCGTCAAAAATGGTGAGGGGCTGAGACTGCTTTGGGTGGGTGGGTGGGAGAGGGTCTCCAGGGGAGGGGGTCAAGGCAGAGGTCAGGGGTGAAAGTCTGAACCTCTGCAGAAAATACCCCCTTTTGGGGGGTACAGGTAGTTCTGAACGACCATAATTGAGCCCAACATTCCCGTTGTTAGGTGAGATGATTGCTAAGTGAGTTTTCCCCTGTTTTATGACCGTTTTTGCACTGCTGTTAAATTAATCCCCGCAGCCATTACATTAGGAACCCAGTTGTTAAGTGAATCCGGCTCCTCCATTGACTTTGCTTGCCGGAAGGTCGCAAAAGGGGGATCACATCACCCCCAGGACGCTGCGATTGTTATAAATACGAGTCAGTTGCCAAGCGGCCAAATTTTGATCGTGGGGAGAATTCCACGGTCTTAATGCATGAAAAAAAAAGATCATCGATCACTTTTTCAGTGGTGGTGTAACTTGTTAACGGTCACTAAAGGAACGATTGCAGGAGTGGGGCTGCTGGGGGTTCTCAGGGGTTCGCGAGAACCTCTAGCTAAGATTCTGTGCAGTTCGGAGAACCCCCCAAATCCCACTCTTGGCTGGCCCTGTCCACCCCACCCCTCCCAGGAGTCTCCACGCAGCCCAATTTGGATATAGGTAAGTGCAGGGCGCGTGCAGAGGCTCAGGGAGGGTGAAAAACGGGCCTACCGGAAGTTTGGGGAGATTGGAAATGGGCCCATTTCCAGCCTCCAGAGAGCCTCCGGAGCCCGGGGAGGGCAAAAACACCCTCCCTGGCAGTGGTGCAGGAGGCTGACTAGGCCACGCCCACCATGGCCACAGCCACCCAGCAACCGGGACAGAGAACCCCTTGCTAAAATTTTTGAAGCCCACTCCTGAACGGTCGTAAGTCTTGTATGAAATCTCTTGATTCGCCTGTCCCGTCCCGACCTTCCCTCCAGGGACCGGCAGCTGGCGTGAAAACCTTCTGCCTCAAATCACTTCTTTCTAAAGTCAGAAGAAAAGAAAAAGGACCTCGAGGGGAAGAAAGAGACGCATTGACTGGCTTTGATCTGTTTTAATTGCATTCCAGGCTGTTCCTTGATAAAGGCTGGGCCCTGAATGCACCGAAATAAATAAATAAACTTGGAAAAGGACACTCGGGGCTTTTTTTCCCCTTGCAAACCCACTTTTTTTTCTCGCAGCCTTCAGAGAGTCAGAGGAACTCCGAAACTACAGTCTGCTCCTTTTTCGGTGCAGTCCCCCCTCCATGCTTGCTGGCTGGCAGTGGGTTATGGGAGCTGTGGTTCGACCCATCTGGGAAGAGCCCAGCACTGCAGACTAATTGATAGAAGGGAACATTTGCAGCTCAGGGTGAGCTCTGGGGCTCTGAGTTTGGTTATTTTCTTGCAGACGTTTCATGACCCATCTAGGGAACATCATCAGGGGTAGAAGGAAGGGCGAGGGGTGCTCTCTGTTCTCGGTTGGTTACTAATTCAGTAAACAACAGCCTAATCATGGAATCACCAAGACCACTCCCACCAACATTAGGGGGCAAGCCACTAATTCATAAACAGAGAGATAGAGATTAATAGATAGATGATTGATTGATAAATAACAGAATAACAGAGTTGGAAGTCTTCTAGTCCAACCTCTGCTTAAACAGGAAACCATACCAAATGATGTTAGATAGATAGATAGATAGATAGATGGATGGATGGATGGATGGATGGATGGATAGATAGATAGATAGATACATACATACATACATACATACATACATACATACATACATACAGTAGATAGATATACATACTGTAGGGATAAATGGATGGATGGATGGATGGATGGATGGATGGATGGATGGATGGATAGATAGATAGATAGATAGATAGATAGATAGATAGATAGATATAACTACAGATAGATAGTTATGTATAGATCAATAGATGATTGATAGATGAAGGATAGATAATATTGTAGATAGTTATAGACATATAAATGATAGAAAGATAGATAGATGACAATAGATAACAGGATACATGTATAGGATGGATGATGAATGGTCAGATAGAAGATGATACCATGTCGATGATGATGATGATGATGATAGACAGACAGACAGACAGACAGCTGATAGATAGATCAATTATGATAGATAGATAGATAGATAGACAGACAGACAGACAGCTGATAGATAGATCAATTGTGATAGATAGATAGATAGACAGACAGACAGACAGACAGCTGATAGATAGATCAATTGTGATAGATAGATAGATAGACAGACAGACAGACAGCTGATAGATAGATCAATTATGATAGATAGATAGATAGATAGACAGACAGACAGACAGCTGATAGATAGATCAATTGTGATAGATAGATAGATAGACAGACAGACAGCTGATAGATCAATTATGATAGATAGGTAGATAGACAGACAGACAGATTGACAGACAGCTGATAGATAGATCAATTATGATAGACAGACAGATTGACAGACAGCTGATAGATAGATCAATTATGATAGATAGATAGACAGACAGATTGACAGACAGCTGATAGATCAATTGTGATAGGCAGATAGATATAGATGACAGCCATGAGATTCTTAGAGAGTCCCTTTGTTGTCCTCTGTTGACCCTTCCCCTCCTCCTCCTCCTCTCTTACAGAAGAGAGCCTCCTGTCATCTGGGGTGCCCAGCCGCATCGCCATACCTGTCAGCCTAGCCGGGCATCACCTGGTGGCAGCACAAGCCGCTGCGTCTCAGGCGGCCGCCCTGGAGCAGTTGCGGGAGAAGCTGGAGACCAGCGAGCCCCCGGAGAAGAAGATGGCGCTGGTGGCCGAAGAGCAGCAGCGCCTGGTCCAGCAGGCTCTTCAGCAGAACCTTTTGGCCATGGCCTCCCAGTTCCCGGTCAACATCAAGGTCAACAGCCGTGGAGGTGGGTTCCCCCTCCATCACTTTCGGGGGCTGGGGGGAAGGGAGAACATCTCCTTTGAGTTCTGCGTTGGCCCAAGGGCAGCTGGGAAGTGTAGTTGGGTGGGGGAGGCCGTGGAACCTATTCCCACCAGTCCGATCGTCATTCCCCAGTTCTTTACACTCTCTGTGGGAAAAAATTAATTCTGGGATTGATGGAGAGCAAACATCCCAGTTGGGCAGAAGGTTCAAGCAGGGATGTAGCCTAGACTCATTAGGTAAAGTAAAGGTTCCCCTCGCACATATGTGCTAGTCATTCCTGACTCTAGGGGGCGGTGCTCATCTCCGTTTCAAAGCCGAAGAGCCAGCACTGTCCAAAGACGTCTCCGTGGTCGTGTGGCCGGCATGACTCAACGCCAAAGGTGCACAGAACGCTGTTCCCTTCCCACCAAAGCTGGTCCCTATTTTGCTACTTGCATTTTCTACCTGCTTTCGAACGGCTAGGTTGGCAGAAGCTGGGACAAGTCACGGGAGCTCACCCCGTCATGTGGCACTAGGGATTCGAACCGCTGAACTGTTGACCTTTCAATCAACAAGCTCAGTGTCTTAGCCACTGAGCCACTGCGTCCCTTCTAGACTCACTACATAAACACAAGAGGGCACAGACTGACCCTCCCAAATACTTCTGAGCTTTATCTGGTCTTTCCTAGGTAAAAGCTGCCAGCCTGGGGAAGATTCCTGTATTATAGGCAGTAAACAATGAAGTAGCTGCTGTCAGGGTTCCAAGTAACACATCCACAGCAAAGAGAACTCCGAGGCAGGCATATTCCTCAAAGAACAATTTATTGGGATCGATCACATTGGTGAAAACTGGCTCTAAAAATTCCTGCAAGTTTCCACCTAATTAAAAGTAAAAGTTTGTTACTTCCCCAAAGTCACCGATCACATGGTCCAATCAGCATATAGTCCAGTTGCTCGTTGACCTCAGTCCAGGGGTGAAATGCTACCGGTTCGGACTGGATCGCCCGATCCGGTAGCGATGGCGGCAGGTGGTTCAGAGAACCGGTAGCAAAACACCCTGCGCCGCTCCCTCCCGCCCACGCCCAGCTGAGCCGCGCAATCATCAGAGGCTTTTTTTTTTTTTTTACTTTTAAAAGCATTTTTTCTACAACCTCTTCGGCTGAAAAAATGCTTTTAAAAGTTTTTTTTAAAAAAGCCTCTGATGATTGTGCGGCTCAGCTGGGATCGTCTGAGGCTTTTAAAAGCATTTTTTCCCTGTAACCAATGCTTTTAAAAGCCTCTGACGATCCCAGTCATCAGAGGCTTTTAAAAGCATTTTTTTCCCTGCAAAAATGCTTTTAAAAAAAAAAGTTGGCCACACCCACCCAGTCACATTACCCTCCCCAAGCCACGCCCACAGAACCGGTAGTAACAAATTTTGCATTTCACCCCTGCCTCAGTCTCCTCCTCCTGCATGGATGTCCTTGGTTCCCTGGGGAAAGAATTTTATTTTGGCTACAGCACCCCAGTTATCTCTACTCCTCCCTCCCTGCGTCTCAGCTCCAGTCTGGGTCAGCACTCAAGCACTGGTTTGAACTCTAAGCAGGTCACAACCTAAACTGACTTGATTTTATGACTGTCATCATTGTCATCATTAGGAGCCTGGATAGCTCAGCAGACTAATGCATTGTAATTTAACTCCAGCTGTCTGCAATTAGTAAGTTCGAATCTCGCCAGGCTCAAGGTTGACTCAGCCTTCCATCCTTTCTAAGGTAGGTAAATTGAGGACCCAGTTTGTGGGGGCAATAAACTGACTTTGTATAAAATATACAAAAGGATGAAGGCTATTGCTTAATGCATTGTAAGCCGCCCTGAGTCTCCGGAGAAGGGCGGCATATAAACCAAATTTTAAAAAAAAAATTGCGGTAAGAGAATCACATGGTTGTTAAGTGAACCAAAGGGTCATTAAGTGAATCAACTGTCCTGTATGGGCGGGTTTTCTTTTTTTGCCAGAAACCAGGCAAAAAAAATGTTGCAAATCGTGGTCGCATGACCATTAGATGCTGCATCCCGTCGTAAGAACAAACTGGTCTCCAAGGGCCCAAAATGCAGTCACTTCACCACAGGGTGTGTGTAACAGTTGTAACTTCAGGGACAGGTCGTAAGGAATATTTTGGGGGGGGGGAGTGGGGTCTGTCGTAACTTTGAACGGTCATTAAAGAATGGTTGTTAAGCAAAGATATTCGTAGGAGACTTTGGATCATGGGCACCAGAGAAATGACCCCTATCCAAATCAGCCTGCCCTTCGATAGGGCAGAGGATTGGACAAGATGACCTACAACGTCCCTTCCAACTCTGTTAATCTGTATCTCTGTATCTGTATCGATCGTTGAGGCTCCCCTGGCAAAGGATGAGCTTTGCTTGGCACGAAATATTTGGGGTTTGGATTCAATGGGACAGGAACGCAGAGCTGCCGGTGGGCTCACGCCTTCCAGAATGGGTGTTGTGGCCCGTCAGCGGCCTGTGCGGATTGTAGCTGATTCCGACAGCGAGGAAGCTGGTGTGGTGCTGCACCAGCAGTCTGTGCAGCTGGCGATCGAGTCAGACAATGAGGAGGCTGGAGAAGATGTGGTGCCAGAGGCAGGGATTCAGCCAGGGCCTTCAGAACCTCCAGAAGCTCCCATAAGTGAAGAGGAAGAAGAGGAAGAGCCTCTTCTCAATGCACGGGCGCGCAGAGCTGCCAAAAGGCAGGAGTGGCTCCTCAGGAGGAGGTCTCCTCGAGAGTAAGGCTTGGGGCTAATTGGCCACTCCCTCAGCCTATTTAAGGAGGAACACCGACTGAAGCAATTTTGTAGGGAACAACTTTAGTTCACTCTCCTTTGCGTCTGGATTCTCTGCAAAATTGTTTCTGGGCTTTCTGCCAACTCTAGTAAGACTATGATTACTTTGCTGTGGCAAAATTCAACAGTTTCATTTAATTCTTTAAAATAATTTAAAATTTTAATTTTTGTCATTCACATTCCATTTTGTCCTTCCTCTCTTTAATGATTCTATGTGCGACCCCACTCATTCACTCTCTCACACACGTAACCATGCTTTGGTGAGTTTATTAATATTCCCCCAGCAATTCCCTTCACCAAAACACTCTCCCAGCCATGAGCAGACGGATGTTAGTCCCCAGAGCAATGGCCAAAGAGTCCACACAGCACTTGAAAGTTTCTCAGACATAATAAACCCAACATAATAAATCCACAACGCAGGAAAGCTGGCGAACACGATTCAAGTTACGGCACGGAGTCCATCCCAAGAGAGGCAGGAATCAGATAAGAAACTAAATATGTGTCAATAGTGTGCAGCAGCAGCCAAAAAAGCCAATGCAATCCTAAATTGTATTAACAGAGGGATACAATCAAGATCAAGGGAGGTACCAAGACCACTCTATAAAGCCTTAGTAAGACCACACCTAGAGTCCTGCACCTAGTTTTGGTCACCACACTATAAAAAAAGATGTTGAGACTCTAGAAAGAGTGCAGAGAAGAGCAACCAAGACGATTAGGGGACTGGAGGCTAAAAAATAGGATGAACAGTTGCAGGAACTGGGCCTGGCTAGTCTAGTGAAGAGAAGGACCAGGGGAGACAAGATAGCAGTCTTCCAATATTTGAGGGGCTGCCACAGAGAGGAAGGGGGCACAAGCTATTTTCCAAAGCACCTGAAGGCCAGACAAGGAATAATGGATGGAAACTAAACAAGGAGAGATTCAACATGGAAATAAGGAGAAATTTTCTGACAGGGAGAACAATCAACCCAGGGAACAGGAGTTGCCTTCAGAAGTGGTGGGAGCTTCATCCCTGGAAGCTTTCAAGAAGAGACTGGACTGTCATCTGTCAGAAATGGTGTAGGGTCTCCTGCTTGAACGGGGGGTTGGACTAGATGACCTACGAGGTCCATTCCAACTCTGTTATTCTGTTATCTGTTATCACGATGACCAGAATACACCCAGCTAGGAAACAACCACGTTGTTCCCAGTGACGCCTCCCTCCATTTGCTGTGCTAAATAGCCAGCTTCCGGTGTCACCGAACAGGAAGGGCGAAGTTTTCTCCTTGCGAGTAATCTGACTGACCTCCTCTGCTCCTGCCTTTTCTCTGCCCTATGTGGATCAGGTGCAGAAGGCAGTTCTTCCTCCTCCTCCTCCTCCTCCTCCTCACTGACCGTGTGCAACTGCATGCTTTACCTAGCTGGAGCTTCAGCCCAATCCTTCCAGATGGCTCCTTGGAGGCATCAATTAATTCAGCTCCTGACCTGCCAAGGTTCATCCTCCAGCAGCTGACATCAAGAGAAGTGTCTGTGGAATCGTCCGGAGGAGTCAATACACTCTATTTCATCATTTCTTCAATATTAAGTAACTTTTGTCCCGCAGCAAGTTGGCCATGGCGAATTGTCGCGGGGCGAGTTGGCTGTGGCGAGTTGTCCTAGACCCCACGCATCCTACCTCCTGTCAACCCTGAAGCTGGCCTGACCAGAGCCATATTGGAGCTTCAGTGTTGCCATGCTGGAGCTGAGGGACAGGGAGCGGGGGTGGGATTAGAGATAGAGGAGTTTGTGTAGCCAAAACAAAATACTTTCTCTTGAGAACCAAGGACGTTCTCATATCTGGACCGTGTGAAGAAGGAGGGAGGCCTCCAGACGACTAGCGAGCATCTTGATTGGACCATGTGACAGATGGTTTTGGGTCTGGGGAAAACTTTCTCTTTTAACTAGGTAAAAACTGCGGGAACCTTCAGAGTCGGTTTTCACCAGATATGTGCCAATATGATATTTCCAATAAAGCTATCCTTCATTGGGAATTTGCCTGCCTGGGAGTTTTTGCTGGCTATGGATCTATTGCTTGGAACCCTGACACCTCCGTTGCTCTGCCTTCCTCACTCCCCTTCTCTGTTCGCTTCCAGATGACAGACAGGAGACGGCATTGAATCTGTCCACCAACGGCATTAGCAGCATCAACATGTCGATAGAAATAAACGGTGTTGTCTACACAGGTAAAGAGCCCCCCTCCCCCCCCTTTGGGTGAACGCAGACTACAAATCCAGAGGTCGCAAAGCATCAGCTTCGCCTCCAGGTTTTCTGATCATCGGCACAGGATACCGGGTTAGGGAGCACCTGAGGAATTGCTAGCTTTGGAAAAGGAGGTGCTAAATGAGAGATTTGGGAGGTTTGGGGGGAATGGCTTGTGAGGCAATCAGGTTCTAGGATCAACCCATTTTTCTGGCATGTCACGAAGTAGGATTTCCCAGCCTCCGGAACTTTAAGATGCGTGGCTGGCTGGGGAATTCTGGGAGTTGAAGTCCAGACGTCTCGAAGATCGCCAGAGTCGCTAGCTGGGAATCTTGGATTGCCTCCATGGCCCATTGGTTTAGTTTGTGGGATGTATATTTGGGGGGGGGGAAAAGGGGTACATTCCATAACCAGGTTAAGCAAGGCAGCATAAATAAGAGCCAGTTAAAGTTTTTTGGTTAAACCCAGTGGTGGTATTTAGCCGGTTCGAGCCGATGCAGGCGAACCAGTAGTTAAATTGCTGGCTGGCCCCTCCCTTCTCCACCCCTCCCAGGAGTCCCCACGCACTCCATTTTGGCTCCCAGGAGGCTGCAGGGAGGCCTATTAGGCCCAAAATGGGGCACGAGGGCCGCATCCCCCCCCCCGCGGCCCTTTTTTGTTCCCAGGGAGGTGCAGGAGGCTGAGTTCTGCCTGTCATACCCTCTGGCCACACCCACCATGGCCACACCCACCCAGCCGGTCATTAGGGCAGAGAACCGGTTGTTAAATGATTTGAATCCCACCACTGGTAAACCCTTTAGCTTAGAAACCGGGAGACGGTGGCCTCTAGGCCTGGACTTAGGCACAAAGCCAGAGAGTTGATTTTCGGCCAGCCGCTTTTCCTCTCTCCTGGGAAGGAGGCAATGGCAAACCACTTCTGAACAACCTTGGCAAGAAAGCTACAGGGACTTGTGCCAGCCAGTCTTTGAGAATTAAATGGAACCAATAAAGGATAATATTTGTAGCTCAGAGTTGAAATAAAGAGTCCTTGATCTTCTCTGAGCTTGGGGGTTTTCTGGCAGACGTTTCATGACCCAACTAGATAACATCATTGGGACTAGAAGCGAGTGGGGTTTGTGGAGAGGAGGAGGAGGTGAGGACTGTGGGGTCTTTGGTGCTCTCTGAGCTTGGTTGTTTGAAGATGTTTCATGACCTAGCTTGGTAACATCATCAGTGCTAGAAAGGAGAGGAGGAGGAGGAGGAGGAGGAGGACTGTGAGGTTCTTGGTGCTCTCTGAGCTTGGTTGTTTTCTTGTAGACATTTCATCACCCAACTAGGGAACATCACCAGTGCTAGAAGGGAGTGGGGTTTGCTGTCTGTTCATATGCAAGTGGTCTGGTGGGAAGAAAATACTTGTAGCTCAGGGTTGAAATGAGGGGTCCTTGGTGGACCCCTCAATTAAATGGAAAAAAAAATAAAAAGGCAGCATGACCAGGGACCTTAAGGACAGACTATCCAATTAAAAAACCCCAAATGTTGACCTACGACCCCATAGCTCTGTGGTAGGTTAGTGGCCAGTTAATGGCAGCTCCCACTAAGGTGCTGAAATTCAGAGGTGGGCTTCCAGAGACCAGAGCCTGGATTTGGGCAGGTGTGAGCAGTAGTTGTTATGTGTGCTGATCATTTCCAACTTGCGCTGCCTTAGTACCTCTCTCGTTCGTTCCTACAGGTGTGTTGTTTGCCAGACGATCGGGCCTCCTGGGCGCTGCGGGAGGCACCCACAGCCACGTCACCGCAGGGATGCCACCGAGCCCGCTGTTCTCCGCCACATCTCGGGGACGTGCTCCGGCCAGCAGCTCGCCCTGAGAGGAGAAGCCCTGCAACCTGTCCTCCCACCCCTCGGACAATGGCCTCCACTCTGCCATCCTGCGTGGGGACCTCGTAGGGGCACCTGCGTTCTTGGTTCAGGGTGGCAAGGGGTGAGGCCCCCAGCCCTGGAGGGGTTTGGAGAGGGACTTCGGGGCAGGGCGAAGGATGAAGAGACACTGGGGCACTGAGGAGGACATAGGCTTGAGAAGGAGGTGGTAGAGGGAGCTGATTATTCAGTGGAATAGTGTGGCTCCAGAGGTTATAGGTGCTCCGTCCCTGGAGGTTTTGAAGAAGAGATTGGACAACCATTTGTCTGAAATGGTAGAGGGTCTCCTGCTCAATCAGACCAGAAGACCTCCAAGGTCCCTTCCAACTCTGGTTTACTATTAATCAGTGGAACGACTTGCCTCCAGAAGTTGTGGGTGCTCCAAGATTGAGCAATTTTGTTATTTTGGAGCCATGGTGGACTAGGGAACCATGGTTACGTCTCCTTCACCTGCATTGATTTCCTTGGTTGTGGTTAGATGTTGGGCACCACTTGGGTTCTTCCGAGGACTTGATGGCGGTTAGGAGTCTTCAACTGGAACAAGGTTCCATCTTCTTCCTTGCCTTCTCCGCCATTCCCTGCCCAGGCATAGGTCCATGCTGGTAACACGCTTCCTCCATTTCCCGCTCTTCACCACTACAGAATCCCACTCCAATTCTGAGTTTGTACGGTCACCAATTCTTTGCACACTCACCCAGGGTCTATGGCTCAGCCCAACGGTGGTTTGCTGTGGTTGCCAGTCCCAACCGAATCAAAGATCTTGGGGAAGGTACAGCTGTGTGAGTGTGATAGTGGGGCGATTAAATCTCATGGAGCGTTAGTTCTAGTGACAGCTGCATGGAACTCCTATCCAAGGCATCTTGGATAGAACCAACATGGGTGGAAAAATTGTTAGATGATCAGCAGGACAGATGAATGTCAGGCTTCTGGGATGGACCAAGGCAAGGAGGAAGCTTGTTAAAGAGAGATCCAACCTAATAGGGAGAAACTTCCTGACGGCGAGAACAATTAATCAATGGAATGACTTGCTCCTCAAGGATTGTGGGTGCTCCATCACTGGAGGTCTTGAAAACCCTCCAGAAAGCCCAACCCAAACCCAACAGATTGGACCACCATTTGACCAGAATGGTATGAGGTCCCGTGCCTTGAGCAGAAAGTTGGGACTAGAAGACCTCCAAGGTCCTGTCCAGCCTACGACTCTGAGAAGGTGGAAGGTTTGAGGTGAAGGTTGGACAACCGTTTGCCTGAAAGGGCATAGGGTTTCCTGCTTTGAGCAGGGGGTTGGACTGGAAGACCTCCATGGTCCCTTCCAACTCTCTCGTTCTGTTCTTCTGTTAAGGTAGGGAGACTTTCGCGAGTGGGACAGGCCAGTTGAGAGGATCGGGGTGTGGAGAGCAGGTCTGAGGGTTGATTGCACTTGCCCCCATCAAAACCGCCTTCGCCTGTCTCAGAGCTGCAGTGAGGACACCCGGTGGCTCCATAACTTCCATTCTCACCCTTGCTCCAACCCAACCCTCTCTTCCTTCCCACCTTCCTCCCTTCCCACGTTGCCTCCTACGGACACAACCAAACCACCCATTTCTCGGGTTGCACTTTCATGACATTGCTTTGAGGGAATGGGTTGGGGGGGGGAAACGGGGGACAACCCTTGCGGTGTTGGGACAGCCCATGGGTTGGGGGCGGGAAGCGGATTGTGTCTCCTTGGGAATCACTGGGGGTGGGGTGGGGGTGGGACATGGGGGTGGGGGGAAACGGGTGTTTCTTTTGTGCTAGTGAAGAATGTCAACGTACCAAAGAAGGGAAGTGATTTCATCTACCTCATGTTCTTTCAGATGTGCCAAGGGGGGTGGGTGGGAAGTGGAGAGGAGGGGGCTCTTGGGAGCTGGGACTTGGAGGTCCAACTCACCGCTGTCTACGCTGCTGTGGAGAGGGCAGGACAGCTGCACCAGCTGCAGCCGATCCAAGCCGTGGCGGCGGTTGGGTTGCTAGGATCCTCTCTTCCTATCCGTCACTGTCCTCCGCTAGCAATTGGGAACAATCGTGCGCTTGACCAAAGACGAGGGCCCTTCGCTGGGCCCTTTTGCACAATCACCTACCGTGTTCAAATAATGGCGGTCTGACCTCTGGCTGGCCGGCTGAGGGACGACAACGCGGCTACGTCCAAGGGACCGCTGGCAGACCCGTCTCTGGAGACTGGACATTACGGAGACTGCAGTGAACGCTTGGTGGACTTCTCGGTCTTCAGCTCTTGTACCAAAGATTGGACTCACTGGGCACTTGGCTTTCCTGGGGAAGGAAAGGAGGGAGGAGGAAGGAAGTGGCGGGGGTGGGGGGGTCTTTTCTCCATCCTTCTGGGGTGTTCCAACTTTCTTCCTTTTCTTCCTTTTCGGTGTTCGACTGGTGGGGTTAATTTTCCTCACCCTGGTGGATTTCCTGCGTCCTCCTCTCTCTCTTTCTCTCTCTCACGCCCTCCCTTCCTCAATCGCTCTCTCCCTCCTTTCCCTCCGCCCCCTCCATCTCCCACCCTCTCCTTCCCTCTCTCCCTTCCCACTCTCTCTCTCCCTCTCTCTCCCCCTCTCCCTCTTTCTCTCCCTCTTCCTCCCTCTCCTTTCTCTCTTTCGCTCCCTCTCCCTCTGTCGCTTCCCTCTCCCTCCCTCCCTTCCTCTGTCTCCCTCTCCCTTCATCTCCTCCTCTCTCTCCCTCCCTCTCTCCCACCCTCCCTCTTCCTCTTTTTCTCTCTCTCATGCCCTCCCTTCTTCACCCTTTCTCTCTCTCCTTTCCCTCCCTCCTCTCCATCTCCCACCCTCTCCCTCCCTTTCTTCCTCCCTCTAGCTCCCACGCTCCCTCTCTCTCCCCCTCTCTCCCTCTTCCTCCCCCCCTCTCCTTCGCTTCCTCTCCCTCTGTCCCTCTCCCTTCCCCTCCCCTCCCCTCTCCCTCCCTCTCCCTCTGTCTCCCTCTCCCTTCATCTCCTCCTCTGTCTCCCTCCCTCTTCCTCTCTCTCTTTCTCCCACGCTCTCCCTCTTCCTCCTTCCCTCTCCCACCCTCTCCTGCCCTGTCTCCCTCTTTCTCTCCCCCTCTCCCTCCACTCTCATTCTTCGTCTTTCCCTCTCCCCATTTCTTCCCCCCCTCTCCCTGTCTTAGCCTCCCTTATCTTCCTTTGTCTCTCCCTCCCCCCCTCCCTCCCTGCTCCAATCCTTTTGTTGTCCTCCCCTGCTTGTCGGCTTCTCTCCACGTTTCTCCCCAACTTTCTTCTAGGTTTCAGAGTCAATCCAGGCACTGAGGGGGAAGCTGGATTGGGGCACTCAGGGGAATGAATGCGAGTATCGATGAGGATGAAAATAAAAACAAAAGTAATTTTAAAAGCGGAAACCGTTGCAAGAGACTTTCATTTCTTCCCTCCCGCTGGTCTGAACCGAGGGCCTTCGGATGATGTAAAAAGGGCTGCTCGCCTTGAGACGGAGAGGGCCTTGAAGTTAACAGAGCTAGTCCTCCACTTACGACCACATTTGGAAACAGAATTTCCATTGTGGTGATTAAGCGAGTCGCACCCCATTTTACAGCCTTTTTTTAAAAATGCAGTTCTTAAGCGAGTCAGGCGGTCGTTAAATGAATCTGGCTTCCCTCATTGACTTTGCTTGTCGGAATCCGGCTGGGAAGCTCAAAAATGACGATCTCATAACTACATGAAAAGGTATACAGGGTTGGACTAGAAGACCTCCTACGGCTGAAGAGGTTGTAAAAAAAAAAGCTTTTAAAGCCTCTGACGATCCCAGCTGACTTGCCTGATCGGCAGAGGCTTTTTTTTCCTTTTAAAAACATTTTTTCCTATAACCTCTTCGAAGAGGTTGTAGAAAAAATGCTTTTAAAAGCCTCTGATGATCCCAGCTGAGCCGCGCAATCATCAGAGGCTTTTTTTTTTTACTTTTAAAAGCATTTTTTTGGCCAAAGAGGTTGTAGAAAAAATGCTTTTAAAAATTAAAAAAAAAAGCCTCTGATGATTGTGCGGCTCAGCTGGGCAATGGGGGGGGCAGGGATTTTTGCTATTGGTTCTCCGAACCACCTGCTTCCATCGCTACCGGATCGGGCAATCCGATCCGAACCGGGAGCATTTCACCCGTGATCCAGGGTCCCCCCCCCCCGGACTCAAATGGTGAGAAACGCAGTCAGACTTGGAAGAATCTGTAACAGTGACCTGCCCCAAGAAGACGTACAGGTAGCTCTGGACTTACAACAGCTCACTTAGTGACAGTTGAAAGTTACAACGGCACTGAAAAAAACTTACGACCTTTGCAGCATCTCCACAGTCACGTGATCAAAATTCAGACACTTGACAACTGGCATGTACTTATGACGGTCGCAGTGTCCCGGGGTCACGTGATCCCCTTTTGCGACTTGTGAAACAAACTAAACTCACTGGGGAAGCCGAATTCACTTAATGGCCAAGTTACTAACTTAACAACTGCAACGGTTCACTGAACAACTGTGGCAAGGAAATTGGAAAATGGGTCAAGGCTCACTTAACAAACGTCTCACTTAGCATCTGAAATTTTGGCCTCAATTGTGGTCGTAAATCGAGGACTACCTGTACTAGAAAATGTGTTTCCCTTCAGCTCTCACCTGCCCAGATACAATTGTCTGTCCTGCCCCAGCTACGGACCCCAAAGAACGCAGCACACACAAAGTCTGTACAAACCTTAGTTTACTAAATTAAATCAGGTTTTTTTTTTCAAACAAAGGCTGTTAATTAACTTTCTTAACAGCCTACAAGAATCCAAAGAATAAGTAATCTTAATCTTACTATCGTTGGCAGAAAGCCCAGAAGCAATTTGCAGAGAATTAGGATCAAGGCACGAAGGAGAGTGAACGAAGTTGTTCCCTGCAAATTGCTTCAGTCGGTGTTCCTCCTTAAATAGGCTAAGGGAGTGGCCAATTAACCCGAAGCCTTACTCTCGAGGAGACCTCCTCCTGAGGAGCCACTCCTGCCTTTTGGCAGCTCTGCGCGCCCGTGCATCGAGAAGAGGCTCCTCCTCCTCTTCCTCTTCACTTATGGGAGCTTCTGGAGGTTCTGAAGGCCCCGGCTGAGTCTCTGCCTCTGGCACCACATCTTCTCCAGCCTCCTCATTGTCCGACTCGAGTGCCAGCTGCACAGGCTGCTGGCGCAGCACCACACCAGCCTCCTCGCTGTCAGAATCAGCCACCAACCACACAGGCCACGTACGGGCCACAACACTGTCCATGGCAGCCTTATCACATCTCACGATTTCAGAAAGAATGTGTGCATTCTTTACATGAATGAATTCCAAAAACCATTCATCGTTCCTTAGAAAAATGGATGCTCACCTTAGCAAAACAATGCACCAGGCTAACAAAGGGCTAATTAAAATATGAAAATATCAAAACAGCATTGGAATAAATAAACACATCCACCCGAAGTGTATCATGCAAAAACTCTTACTAGCTGGCTATGGACTTTCTGGCAGAGCTACACTGCCCTTCCTCAAAACTCCCAGAATCTGTAACTAGTGTGAAAACTGCAAATAGATTGGCAGATACAAGCTTGGAAAAGCCATAGAGGAAAGCATAAAAGTTCAAACTAATAATTAAGGGGGCCACCGCATAAGTATGAGCCAGCAGTGTGCAGCAGCTCATTCCAGATGTGGTCTTATAAAACCTTAGTAAGGCCACACCTGGAATCCTGCATTCAGTTTTGGTCATTACATTACAAAAAAGATGCTGAGTCTTTGGAAAAAGCGCAGAGAAGAGCAACTAAGAGGATTAAAGGCCTGGAGACTAAAACGTATGAAGAATGGTTGCAAGATTTGGGTTTGGCTAGTCTAGAGAAAAGAAGAACAAGGGGGGACATGATAGCAATATTCCAGTATTTGAGGGGCTGCCACAAAGAAGAGGGGACTCAACCTATTCTCCAAAGCAGCTGAAGGCAGGAGAAGAAGCAACGGATGGAAACTAATCAAGGAAACAAGGAATTAAGGAGAAAGTTCCTAACAGAGGACAATTAACCAGTAGAACAGCTTGCCTTCAGAAGTTGTAGGTGCTCCAACACTGGAGGTTTTGAAGAAGAGACTGGACAGACACTTGTCTGAAATGGTATAAGGCCCCCTGCTTGAGCAGGGGGCTGGACTAGAAGACCTCTGAGGTCCCTTCCAGCTCTATTCTGATTGCCTGCTTGATTAATTGTAGCTGCCAAAAAAAGCCAATACAGTTCTAGGTTGTATAAACAGAGGGATAGAATCAATATCATGTGAAGTGTTAATGCCGCTTTGTAATGCCTTGGTAAGGCCACACTTGGAATGCTGCATACAGGTTTGGTGGCCATGACATAAAAAAGAAACTCTAGAAAGAGTGCAGAGAAGAGCAACAAAGGTGATCAGGGGTCTGGAGGCTAAAACATAGGAAGAACGGTTGAGGGACCTATTATGTCTAGCCTACCAAAGAGTAAGATTGTGGGGGGGGGGACGGACAGACATGATAGCAGTCTTCCAATATTTGAGGGGTTGTCCAAAGAAGAGGGAAATGACTTATTCTCCAAAGCACTAGAAGCAACGTGTAGAAGCTTGTTAAAGAGAAATACAATCTAGAAGTAAAGGGAAATTTCCTGACCGTGAGAACAATTAACCCTTGGAATGGCTAGCCTCCTGGAGTTGTGGGAGATTTTCAAGAATAGACCGGAC